CCGGTGCTTTATAACATCAAACTTTGGATAACATCTTCAGTTTTATGTTATATAGCACCTTTGGATAACATCTTCAGTTTTATGTTATATAGCACCTTTGGATAACATATTCAGTTTGATGTTATAAAACATCTTTGGATAACATTTTCAGTTTGATGTTATAAAGCACTTTGGGATAACATCTTCAGTTTGATGTTATAAAGCACCTTTGGATAAAATCTCCAGTTTGATTTTATAAAGTTATTTCATAGTTTCAAATTATCTATCTATATGTCTATCAAATAGTCTATATGATAGCTGTGATTATGTCACCTTTATACGTTATGTGTCAATGGTCTGACAAACATGCTGTTTTTTAATTATAGTGTAACATTTTGATTTTATAAACACCATTGTATTTTTCAGCAACTGGTGTTAGCCGAAGGAACTACAATGTTCGAGAACTGGAAGAATATTCCAGTGCCTATATACGTCAGGATTTATATTTTCAACGTCACCAACCCTGCTGACGTCACCTTTAATGGCGCGAAACCTGTATTGGAAGAAGTGGGTCCCTACACTTTCAAGTACGTTCACTGAACTCATGTATTTAAATAATTTGCACCATTCGATACTTTTTTTTGTAGGATTAAACTTTCAAATAACTGTAGCCAGACTGGCGCTGTCTATTTAGCTACCCTAGTCAATATTTCATTCTGCTGCCCCTCTCAGCTCCAGAAACAGTTAACACGTGACCACCGTGCGAGTTGAAAAAATCTAGAAAATTTACCTTTCTTACTTGGATTGAAACAAAATCACACCATGCATGCTTCAAGACTTCTCGCACCTACTCACCACCACCTCGTTCCGGCCTCCTCCAAGACAAAAATTCCCCCGCTCAATTTTTCCTGAATCTCAGCACCTCTGGGTTAACAAAAATGGCTTAGATGAATTGTTTGTATTTTTGAACATTATTCTTGCTATCTTACACGATTTTATGGTGCCAGGAGTGGGGGTGACATTTAATTTTTCTATTTCTCTTTACTCCTTTATCTTATTCCCTATTTGCCCAACAAATGTGTTTGTGTTACAAAACGGCCTAACTACATTTATATTGTTACGACAGCGGAAGTCACGCGACGCTGGAAGCAGGCGCGCTGGAGTTTATAGAAGGATCATGACTGTTTCTGGCAACTCTAGTCTTTTCCAGGCGCCCTCTATTTTAATATATAAGCCCCGCAAATAACTGCAGATAACTGAGTCAAGCGAACGGTATTGACGGTGTTATAAAGTGTGTGAATCGCTGTGAATTATAGCGTGTGTTTATAAAAGTAG